TGCAGACAACCCTGTAGTCCAGCCTCTCTCAGAAGCCAACCCCAGTCCATCTGGACAGAAGCCGAGAGGTTTCATGTCAGGAAGCCCTTCCACACCCTCGCTGCTCTGCCCGGTAGAAACCTCTCCACTGGTTTTGCTGGGTGTTTGATCAAGCCTTGACAGCCCAAAAACGCACAGACCAATTATGGAAGAGAATAACCTTCAGCATGAATGTTGGCACGGTCCCCATGCCAACATTGCCCATCAGCTTCAATAGCTCTTTTCCTTCCTCAACGTTTGTCCCCGACGTACAGGCCAGAACATAACACAATCCGGTGCCCGAGTCAGCACCAGTCGGCGGATCCCTTTCACACGGCATCTCCCTGAAAAGGAGAAGGCCGGTGCAAAACCAAAGCGTGGCCGGGGATGCATTTCCACCTGAGAATGAAGTCAGCTATCACAGCTTGTTCACTGCAGCGACTGGGTGTCTGTAAGGAGCAGAAGCTTAGCCTGGGAAGTTCAGCGGCATATAAAAAGTTTCTGAAGGCAGAGATGGCATCCCCTGGTTACCCGCAGCGTGAGCTGAGCAATGTTGCCCACGCTGCTGGAAAAGCCCCAGCGCTAAGGAATCTCTGTGGAAACAGGAAGCTGAGAATCCTCCTCCCTCCCACGCTGCATCCTCATTTCCAGGCAGGGGATAAACAGCCCTGCCCCCAGGCAGTGTGCGCACACAGCCCTGTGTGCACCCCAGACCCACCGGCCCTGTGCTGCTCCAGCCCCTCGGGACCCATTCCTGGGGCCCCGACCCTGTGAGTGGGGCTCCCAGTGGGAAACCGGGTCTGTCGCAAAGGCTTAGATGCTGTTTGCAGCTCTGGCTCGGGCCCCTTGCTCCAATTCAGGTGGGTTTTATGCCACACGCCAGCGACTGCTACGAAGCTGCCAGGGTTGCCGACTCTCTGCTGAGGTTTTATTTTCATGCACCAGGTGCTGGAGTCCTGTGATGATGAGGACCTGCCACTTCTTGTCCCTTTGCTGAGTTAAGACCCATTCCATTTTAATCTCCACGGGTCTGTGAAGGGGCATGGAGCCAGACGTGTGTGATCATGGGAGGTTTGCGGTCAGCATGACTGTGTTTCTGCTCTGCTGCTGTCACACAAAAGACCCACCCGTGCAATGCGCTGTGGCTGTGGTCCTGTTCCCAGCACAGTTTCTTCAGGATTTCCTGACTCCATTTCCCCTTTCAGTACCACGGTTCTGTCCCCACTGTTCATACCACGGGCCAAACTGGGCCCTAGGCGATGGAGATCAAACAGGCTCACAGGGCAGAAGCTAAACCAGTAACTCCATTATTTTCACTCCTTCTCTTTCCATTTTGACCTACTGAGAAAGCACCTGGGAGCTCCAGGCGCGGAGCAAGACCCCACTGCGCAAGGTGCTGTACAAATACAGAATGAAGGGATGGCTCCAGCTCTCTAACAGGCTGCTGGAACCAGGGGCACCTGCTCCTCCTGCTCGCTGGTCCCTTCAGCTGGGAAGCAGCGGGCAGGAGGGGTTCACTGCACGGTTACAATCCAGGGTTGGGGGGGAGGGGGGTGTCCCACGGCCTGGCACTGCCACAGATTTGCCATGCGCCCCCAAGCCACTCACACCACTTTCCCGTGCTGAGCTGTAAAATGGGAAAGATAAAGCCCTACTGCACGGGGCTGCAGCCAGGCTGTGATGGGGGCCCTGTAAGTCCATCGATAGAAGAGGGGCGATCCCTGGGGTGAGGGGATGACGGAGAAGGGTGCAGAGTCAGACAAGCATGCACCAGGGGAAGACATCCTGCACCGTGCACCACCCAGGCAAGAGTGCGGAGATAGCTTGGACATTGCAGGAGCCAGGGAAATCTTCACGGGCATGGCGCGTGGGACAGGCCAAACTCTGCTCCAAGGGTGACCTCTAGCGGCTGCACCTCCAAAGGCCCCGCTCCTGCCCGGGAAGGGACCCAGGGCAAGTGGGAGGCGATGGCAGCCTTGCCAAGGGACCTCAGCCTCCTTCCTTGGCACTTCCCAGAGGCGTCGGCTCCTAGCAGAGCACCTGGCAAGGTGGAGAAGTCCTTGCTGATTCAAGGAGGCTGCTTCTGAGTGCTCAGCGGTCCCCGGATCCTCCGCACACAGGCTGGGGCTCTCCATAGGAGCACAGCGCAGCCGGCAAGCCATGTCTGGGGCACTTGAGAAAGAGATGCCTACGATACCGCTCCCTTTAAACCAGTCCCAGTGGCTTGGCCGATGCCTGCAGGGCAGCTCCCATCTGCTCCTTCCCAAGCAGTCTCAGCTCCGCATCCCCTCTCTCGGGGAGCGCGCAGTTCCCGCAGCCCTCTGGAGCAGTGGAGATGAAGAGTTCGCTGTCAGGGTTGGCACGTGCATTCACTCTCGGGGTTGGCACGTGCTACTCGCATCCCACGTTGCACATCTGTGCTGGAAATCTCTGCCCCTGCTGGCACCTCCTTAGTGGAGAGGCCCCCTCTCCGCCCCACCAGCTTCCCTAAAAACAGCCACGCAGCAGGCAGCCCTCTGCACCTATAGCCGGGACTGTGCCGGCACCTCTAGGTGCAAGGTGCTGTACGAAAGCAAAGCGGAGCAAGCCACTGGGGATGTGACTTCCTCACAGACGTTGGCCAAGCTCCATGCTACAGACCTGGTTGTTTGAACGGGCATGGGCAGCCTGCTGCCACGGGGGCAGGCTGGCTGAAGGGCACAGGCTGTGGGCACAGAGGCCAGGGATTCAAACCCACCACTCAGCACTGATCTGAAAGCCCTGGGGCTGCTCCCATCTGCCGCCGCTGGGGGTGTAGCTCTGCTTTGGGGGACATGCTTTGCTCGCCTGTGTAGCTTGTAGGGCAGGTCTCTGTTCTGCACCGGATCCACGCAGACGCAGGAGAAGTGGCTGGGCGTGTAGCTGCCTTTCCACACGGGGACCTACTGCAGTGTAGAGCAAGCACCAGTTAAGCAAACGCTGTCGAGAAGTTGCGATCATACTTCCTGAGCAAGCCACACGCACGTGACACGGCCAGACATGCAAGCATTTGTGGCTGCAGCAGGTGGATAAGAGCAATGAGTGACGGGGCCAAGGTCCCACGGGAAGGCTACTGCAGGGCAGGGAGCTGGAGCCAGAGGTTATTGCAGGATAACCCCCAGGAGGGCTGAGCAGGCTGTGCTGGGTGCTCCCCAACGCTGCGGTGTCTGCTGCTCAGCCTCGCTGCACGGCTCCCTCCTCTCCGGGTTCTTCACTAACCACAGGGTCCGTCTCCTCCCTGCATCTCCCTTTCCCCTCTCGCCCTTGCTCTGGTTTGACTGGAAGCTCTTTGGGGCAGGGACTCTCTCGCTGCATGTTTGTACCGTGAGGTCTTCATCTCAGCTGGGCCTGGAGGCTGCCCGGCTACCAGCACCCCGACGGAGGGGGCTGCCATTCATTCAGGAACTGAAGCTGGGAAGTGGTGGAAGGTTTCAGCCCAAAGACGTAAATGGGGAGAGCGCGTCCCTGCCCAGCCCAGTGGGGAAGTCCAGTGACGCGGTGCTTGGCAAGGGCATCGCTATCGCTCTTTGCCAGGAGACGGTGGCGGAGCTCAGGGGAAGGACGGGCTGTGCCCACACTGGGGGGGGCACCGGGCGGTTCTGTGTTCCCCAAAATCCCCTGGAAGTAAAGCATCAGGTCCCGTAGCCCTGAGGCTGCCCTACTACACCAGAGGGGCACAACAGGACGCATTGGATCCCACAGCTCAGGAAGGTTTGAAGCCTTCCTAGCACCTCTCTCCATCTCTGCTCCGGGGACCGGAATAAGGCACAAGCCCACAGGCTGGGCACAGCGGGCAGCGCACACCACGCGCCTGCTGCCTGACTTCCTCCCCCTTTCTGATCAGCAGCCCGAGGGCCCCATCCTGCACCATGCTTCCTGCAGTCAGGGACACAGGAGCCATCCGAGGGGGTCAGAGCTGCGAGCGGCACTGCCTGACACCTGCAAGAGGCAGCTGAGAGGGGGGACCTGCCCTGCATGCAGGAGGGCCCCTTCTGACCCCCCCATTCAGAGGCCCTGAAGCCGAAGGGGTTAGACCCCTCCACGGGTCCTGCAATCATCTATTCCCATCCCGAATAGTCTCGTTATTATACGAGGGACTCCCCCCCTCCACGGTCGAAGCCTGCTAAACTCCTGGCTCTCGCAGCATGCCGTGGCACTGAGCGCGGCAGCTGGATGGAACCCAGTGGCCTGCCAGCGAGGGGCACGGCTCGGGGGCTCAGCACCTCTCCGAGCGCAGGTAGAGGAAGATTTTGCCGAGGGTTACCGAGCCTCTAATGGGAGGGATACGTCTCATGGGGCAGCGGAGGGGCCGCAGGGTCACGTGGCAGGCACTGGAATGGGGTTTGAAGGATCTGGACTCGGTTCCCAGCTCTGCCACTGGCTGTCTGGGGGACCCTGGGCAAGTCACTTAACGGGGCATGAGAGGCTGGTCCACAGCCAGCTCTCAGGATACCAGGGTCCAATCCCCTCTGCCACAGGCTGCCTGGGTCACTGTTCCCTCCTTGTCTCGGTCCCCCCTGTAACACAGGTAGACCTTCCTTCCTACCTACCCGGCCTGGGAGGTGCCCTGCTTTGGTAGGGACGGGAGCTGCTGTGTATGGGGGGCAGAGGGCACCTCTCCTGACCGGGGTGGGGGGTTCTCAGGCTCATCCGTGCTTCTGAAAGCTTCCACCCTCCCTGGGTCCCACGTTCCCTCTGTGAAATGGGCTAGTAGGACACCAAGGCAAGTCTGCACGTGAAAGGGCAGGGAAGAGCCACCGTGCCCCAAAAAGTCTCCTAGCTCGGCTGTAAAAAAACAACAGCTCAGACTCCCGACCCCAAGACGCAACTCCGCCTGCTCTCTCGCGCTCCCTGCACATTTGCCTTTTCCTGTGCACTGTTTTCAGGTTAGCGTGAAAGACCAATCAGGAAATAACTTTGCATCACATGCTCCAGCCCTGACAGTCAAGTCAGTGAATGTGGTTGAACTGCTAAGGGAGTCGCTCCCGAGCTGTGAGGGCTGCAGCTGCGCGGGACACCTACGCGGCCCCTAGACGTGGCTGGACCCAAGCCTGGTGGATGGAAATAGGGAGCCGGGGAAAGCCACGCCGGACAGGACCCCGGGGCTGAGACGTTGCGGGGGGCTGCTCTGGGGCGAGACGATCTCCACTTGGGGGGAAGATGTTTTCAAGGAAGAAGCGGGAGCTAATGAAGACGCCGTCCATCTCGAAGAAGAGCAGGGCAGGAAGCCCCATACCGCAAGTGCTGGCGGTGAGTAGCGCTGCATCCTCTCGAGGCGCTCGATGCAAATGCGCAGGGCGGCTGCGTGGGGCTGGCGGGCAGCGTGGAGTCGCCCGGGGGAAAAGATCCCAGAAAAGCTCCGTCCGTAACCAGCCAAGGGGGAGAGACGCCTCAATGGAGGGAGGGGGAAGTGGCCGGCGGCGAGCGTCGAAGAAGAGGCGCGATTGAGGGCGAAGCCAAGGGCGTGAGGACCAAGGAGTGCACAGGGGGACAGGGCCGTAGGGGCAGACGGATGTATTCACGTCCCAGTGGAGCTGGGTGAGGCCCCCGGCCTCTACCGGACAAAGGGACAGGCAGGGCCCCTCCAGGACAGCCCTGGGGGAACAGTTCAACAGGTAAAGGAAAAGGGACCTTCCCAGCTTCGTCCTCCTCCTGGTTTGGAAAAAGCTGCGGTTTGCACACCCTCGCCCACGTGCAGCCAGAACCCGTCCCAAACCCAGACTCTTGTCCCGGGAAGGGTGCAGGCCTCGAGGCTGCGCAGAGCCATCCGGCAGCCCCGGGCGCCCCTCTCCGGCCGTGCCCGCTCCTCGGCGGGCACGTGGGGTGGATGGGTGGGCCCGGCCGCAGTCCGAGAGCTCGGAGGGATGCTGAACAGACGTTCGGTGGGGAAGAACAGCTACAGCCCCTACTCGGTGGGGCTCAGGCAGATGGCCACGAACGCCGGCTCCCACAGGAGCACACTGGTTCCAGTCTCCTACAAACCCAACCCGTGGTTGAAGGTAGGTGGGAGCCGAGGGTGCAACCCACGGGCTGGGCTCTGCTTGTTCCTGTCCCTGCCGCTCCTCTGGGGGTGCGACGGGTGCCTGGGGCTGCGGGAGCAGAATCGCGCTGCCGAGTTCAACCCCCCGCTGCAGAGAGGAACTCGCAGCCTCCCATCCTGCATGGGTGCAACAGCAGTCAAGGCCCCCAGGACCCCTGAAGATGGTTTCAGGGCTGGATCTTGGGCTAAAAAAGGGTCTTATTGGGTCTCCTGGCTTGGGGGTTGCCTGCAGCCAGGCCTTTCAGATGGCCTCACTTTTCCTTCCTGGACAGTGGTCACTAGCAGCCTCCTGGGGTGAGGCTGCCATCTTTCATTCAGAGAGCTGCAAGCAGGGGCCAGGTGCTGAGAGGAAGCAGGGATGATGCAGGCAGGGTCTTGCCCAAGAAGAAATCAGGAGGGGTGGCACTGTAGGCTCTCCAAAGGAGGCAGATACGGGGCCCATCCCTGCCAGACACGTTGCGCTTTTGTGACGGGGCCTGAAAACTGGACTGAGGCCTGGCAAATGCTCTTCTGACATGAGCAACTGTCTGGCAGGCACAACAGAAGTGGGCTGAACCGAGCCACTGGCTCCAAGGTGGAAGACTGCAGCACAACACTTGCAAGCAGGTGGAGGATCTCCGGGTTTGCTCCTTCCTTCCGTGCCGTGCAAAGCGATGCCCCGCTGGCTGACAGGCGGGCGTCTCTGCTTGCTAAGCCCTCAGAAAAGCCAGCCCGGCTTTCTCTTTTATAACGGAAAACGGTTGCTGTTATCAGACCTAGTTTCTGATGCAACTCAGCCCCCAGGCGAGGCACAGTGGGTAGGGAGTGACTCATGAGCGTCCAGGCTAGGAGACCTTCCCAGGGCTGCTTTGTTTAGGACAGGCTTTAAGAGACCCGCTGCCTTCCCCATTCAGAGGCATGGGCAGGCCGTTTTGTGGGCCCCAAGTTGCAGGACCAGAGGGAGGGGAACACATCAAGCCAAACGCTGCTGTCACGGAGGCTGGTGGGAGTAACTCAGAGCTGAATCTGCCAGGAAATCCTCTGCAGGAAGTCAAGGCTCCTTTGACTTGGGAGTGGGCTAGATGTCGGGCCATCCTAGGGCGACGTCAGGGTGTGACCATGCCTCGTCTCGCCACGGTGCTCTTCCCAAACACCGTGAGACCCTGCATGTTTCCTAAGAAAAGCCACCGTCCTAATGCACCTCCCAAAATTGCCAAGCTGCCTTGGTACAGGCCTGTCCGAGGGAACGGGACATGGCATCGCCGCTACCGTTCTGTGTGGCAAGAGGGACTGGTCACGTCTCCTTCACAGATGGCCAGCGCCTGATATCACAGGGCCTGGAAGAGAAGAGGGAAGAAGCCAGCTGTGCCCAGAGAGAGGAGCCTGCGGTTTCTGCCTCTTGTGAAAGCCCCAGGGCTGGGGGCTGTTTACTTGTCCAAAGTCGGTGGGAAGTCTTGAGCAACCACGATCGTTGAGGCCGCGTGAAGTTTGCACTCCCCGGCGACTTCGTTCCCTGTGCTCAGTGCCAGGGCTGAGGTCGCCCAGTGCAGGTCTTTGCTTTGCTCGGTTCTGGACTCTGCAAAAGGCTTTGGCGCCTTGTCCCTCTCCAGACAGCTCCTCCAGAAAGGAGAAGATGGGACTCAGAGCTGTGAGCTTCTCCCAGCAGTGGCTTGTGCTTCCAGTCTCCCGCTGGAAAATCCCAGGACTGAAGTTTGCCACTTGCTCCCAATACAGGAGTCACCAAAGCCGCTGGAGGAGAAGAGATGGGAACTGTCCAACAGCCAGGCACTTCTGCACCGAGCCCTGCCAGGCCTTGGGTGGCAGAGGCTGGCGGGGGGCCGCTCCAGTCCTTGCAGCATCTCCTGCGGGCAGCAATGGATGAGGAGCAGCCGCCGGCTCCGCTCCAGCCCTGCGTCCCCATGGTGTGAAGCAGCAGGGAGTCATTTTGTGGTATCAACATCATGGTCCATCTCGGTACAGTCACATCTGAATCACTCGAGGCCTCTCCCTTGCTGTCAGCAGGGGCTCCACACGCAGGGCAAAGAACGCCGCTTTACAGCTCTGGGAGATGAATCATTTATAGCTGGCCGGCGTTTACGAGCCACTCAGTTGCTCCCCTTGCACTGGGAGGCTCCCTCACCATCCTCGCCCTTGGAGAGTCTCTTGATTACTGAAAGACAGTCTCATTCCTCCTCCAAGATGGTTTTGCTGGTTGCTGCGTGCAAACGGTGCGTGCAGCTTCGCTGATCAGGAGGCTTCGACCCTTCACCACTAAAAAATCCCCATGATCCGGGGGGAAATGCAGGGCAACCTCAGTGACTTAGCTGCAGGAGTGACACTGGGCCAGATTCTGGTTCCAGCAGCACAGTGCTCCATTAGACCTCAGCACCTCCCTGGAAAAGGCTGGAAATAGAGAAACTGAGGCACGGAAACCTAGTGTCGCCTTGCACAACTCTGTTAGCAAGTCAGTAGCTGAGCCAGGACCCCCTGAGCCCAGGTCACAGGCTGCGGCAAGCAGCCATGCTCCCCGTCCAGGGCAGACCCCAGGTGCCGCGCTTTGCCCAGTTAGACCCCACTCTTCTTCGAAGCTGGAGATGGAGCCCGGACGTGCAGTCCCCTGCTCTCACCGTGATGCTCCTTCCCCTCGTTCAGATAAAGGCTGATGAGCGTGTAGACAATCTCCATCCCACCGGGGTCTTCCCCATGCGCCAGCAGCCCCAGCCCCTTCATCCTCTCATGGCTGTTCCTTCCCTTCCAGGAGATGCCACGGAAGGACTGCCTTGAAGCACCTCCCTCCAGCCTGGCAGACCAGGGTCTGTCCAGCCCCAAGCTCAGCAGCAGCCCCAGTGGCATGGGCACGCTCAAGCGGCCCACCAGCCTGAGCCGGCATGCCAGCGCCGCCGGCTTCCCCCTGGCCTCGGCGGGCACCCGGGGCATCGCCAAGGGCCACAAGACCCCCACCAACTACAGCCCCGTTGACAGTGCCGACGCGCCGTTCATCGAGGTAGAGGACATCCCGCAGCTCCTGACCTACGTGGCCCTCTTCGCCGAGGCCTTGGAGAAGCTGAGGGACGTGGTTCTCAGAGACGGTGAGTCCCGAGTGTGAGGGCTGGGGATGGTCGCGTGGGGACACGCTGAGCTGAGAGGGTCGAGGGGCTGCTTCGTGTTGCAGATACTGGGGGGACAGGGGGAAATGAAGGAAGGGGAGGAAGGGGTCCAGGTGGGCTCCTCAGCCATGCACGGGGTCCTGGCACCCTGCACTCCCACTCACCCTGCGCTCAGGCCAGCGGGAGCCCCCAAATCACTCCCCTCCCCTACACCTCCTAAGAGCTTGGCCCTGGGGGATGGAGCGGGGGGGCAGATGTGGGCAGCTGGTCCTGGAGTCTGCACTTCCCTATTCCCTGCCGAGAGGCACGTGGTTCAGGGCTTGGCGTGCGGTTTGATCTGCGCCAGGCATTAGCCTCCAGCCCTTGATGTCAGCATGGGTCTTGTGGTCTGCTCCTCCCAGCGCCGGTCACACCACTGTGAATCATGGGGCGCTGCTGTTTGTGGCTGGGGCGGTGGAAATGCCCGGCTGGGCCCGGACGGGGCAGCTCCACTCTCGCTCCTAAACCCCGAGGTGAGGGAGAAAGAGGGCTCCGGAGGTGGAAGGAGACAGGTGCCCTGCCGTGCCTCTGCTCCAAGCCTTTGAGCTGAACCCAGCCCTTGTTCCCAGAGGAGGAGGCCATGGGAATGAGCCCCGCAAGGCGGCCACACATGGGCCCAGGCAGCCTTCCCGTGGGCTCACAGACGTGGGCCATCCCCTACCACCCTGTCTGCCCGGGACAGCCGTACAGGAGAGCCCGTGATGGGAGTCAGGCACGCCAGGCGCTGGGGGGCGGCTCCGACGTGGGGGTCTTGGGATGCAGCAGGCGACCACGCAAGGTGCAGGCCGATGGAGCATGTGGCCGCAAATGGTGGATGCTGCAAAGACGCTTGGGGCTGGTGGAAGGGGGGTGGTTCCTGCTGCTCCTCCTGCCCTCCCGCAGAGCAGGGTGCAGGGAGGGAGATGGGCCGGGAACCAAGGTGGGGAGGGGGAGCTGGGCCAGGACAGTGCGACTTCCTGCCCGCGAGCTATTTTCATCCGCCTGCCTTTCCTGTTTACGCGGCTGCTGGCGGGTGGCACCCAGAGTGCGCCCCCGGCCCCTTGCTCTCTGCCCCCAGCACTGCCCTGGCTTGAGGCCGCGCCTGGCAGGGCAGAGCGCAAGAGGCGAACGGGGCCGAGCTCTCGCTGGGGGGCCTGTGGAAGCCGGGGGAGGGGGGCTCCCCCCGTTTCTGCCCTGCCCCCTTTAAGTGGCTTCTTCGGTGGAAGACAAAGGAAACGGCAAATATTTCTTTTTCCGTAGCCAGGGTGGGGCTGGCGGGGGGGTCACATGACACCTTGTTTTTCGCTCCCGGTCGTACAACGCATTGCCGCGCTCCCCTTGCCAGTGGAAAAGGCGGGGCGGGACCCCAGAGGGCAGAGGTGGCCCCCGAGGGAGGGGGCACAGTGGCACAGGGCTCTCCTGGCAGCCTCCCAGCAAGACCAGATTTGGGCGCCCAGCTTCCACGTGGCGGCGTGTCCCTTGCTAGATGGCCGTGCACGGCACATGGGAGCTGGATGGGGAGGCTGGGGCTGCCTTCGGTCAGCAGAAAACCCCAAGGCCTAAAGTCCATGGAGCTACAGGTTGAATCTGGCGCTGCGGGGCCTGGGCAGGGCAGAGCTCGTGCAAAGCATCAGGAAGCTGCATCTCGAGCAGGCTGCGACGCCCCGGGTTTCTCTTCAACACTAGGGCTGCTGGGACTGGAGAGAGCAGGTGTGGATACAGCAGCCAGTGGGGACGGGGTGAGCAGCTGTGAGCCTGCACGAGCGGGGATGAGTGGGGCCGGCAGGCAGTGCAGGGGGGAAGGTCCGGGCCAAAGGAGTTTGGGCCTGGGGGGGCGGGACAGTGGTTTGGGGGCTCCTCAGAGCCGTGGTGGCTGCATCCTGGCCTGGCAGAGACGCCGATCCCTGCTCCCAGCCCCTCCGACGTCTGCCTCCCCCTCCGAAAGTGCCTACGGAGGCAGGGAACACAGAGGAAATCCCTTCCCCTGCCCTGCGTTTGCCAGGCCCAGGCACTCTTTGTACCAGCACCTCCCTCCCTTCCCCACCCCGTGGCCCCCAAGAAGGCGGCAGCACCCCCTCTTCTAGGCTCTGTGCCAGCCTCCCTGGGCTGTCCACGGGGCGGCTCCAGAGCCCCTCTCCCTGCCACCTACCCCCTGCCCCTTGCAGAGCTGTCGGCGTGTAACGCAGCCACCCCGACCCCCCAGCGACGTGGCATCTGTCCCACGTGGCCCTCGAGGGGCCAGACTGCACTCTCAGCTGCCCCTGGGTAAATCAGACTCCCCAGAGATGGTGGAGTCCCCCCCGGTTGTGCTGCTGTCTGACGGCGCAATCACACGGGTAACGGTGACGATACACTGCTTGCTCAGCACCCCGGAGCGCCGTTCACGAGGCTGGAGCAGGGGCGCCGTCTCAGCCCCACGGGGCAGGAGGGGAAACTGAGGCACGGAGCAGGACACAGATTTGCCCAAGGCTGGGCTGTATCAGTGGCAGAGCTGGGGAAAGCACCCAGGAGTCCTAACGCCCACCCCTTCTCTTCTCAACCCAAATCAAGCCCAGGCTGCGACCGGGGAGTCCCCAGGGGTCCTGACTCCCTTCTTCTTTAATCGTGACATCACATCCCTCCCATGGGGGCTGGGGAAAGAACCCAGGAGTCCCGGCTCGCAGGTGCTTGCTCTGCCCACCAGCCCACACTGCCATGCACTCGATCGGACAAGGAGCGTGCGTCTGGTTCCCTTTGGGGAACCGTTTCTACCGGCCTCCCTGGGGCCCGAATCCCAGCGCGGCCGCTCAGGGCGGCTCAGTGGGGGAGGATCGGGGCAGCTTTATCTGGAGAGCTGCAGAAGGGACTGGCTTCCTGGGGAAGCTCCCAACATCCAGCTTCCCTTCCTGCCAGTAAACAAACTTCCCAGGCCCCCGGAGCCCCTCGCGCTCGCGGCAGGGGCTGGGGGTGAGAGGAGCAGATGCCTCCTGCATGCCGGGGCGGTGGCAGCCCGTGGGAGGTCACCTCCGGGCAGGGAGGGCAGGGGAAAGAAGCAGGGAGGAAATTCCAGACTTGCTTTCAAGGGGAGCTCAGCTACTGGGGAAAGACCGAGCTCCGCCTGGCAGCTGCCAGCCCAGGACTTTGCTTCCCTCTCCAAGCCCTGTCTCAGGAAGGCATGGCTGCCTTACCTCTGTGGGTATCACACGAGAGCCTGAGGCCCAGGGAGAAGCCCCCAGACCTCGCTGGCGATGCTGCTGAACTGCTGGGGAGATGAGCCACACCCCAGAGCAGGGGGTAATACCCAGAGAGCTTCCCTCTGGGCTCTCCTTGAGGCACTGTCCACGAGGAGGCACAGTCCCTGGGTTTTCCGGGATGGGGAAACTGAGGCACAGAGCCCCGATGAGCTCGCAGCCACCCAGAGTCAGTGCTGGCGTTCGGGGCCCAAGTCCCCCGCGCCGATGCACCCCATGCTGCACGGGGAAAACGATCTCCGCTACCTTGTTCTCGTTGCCGCCACGCTAGCGAAGCCCTGCCTGACTGCCCCCATCCCCTGTGCTGTGCTCCAGCCACTAGGCCACGCTGCCACCCTGTGCAGGAAGCTCAGCAGTTTGCTGAGGGTGCTCAGCGAGATCTCCGTGCCCTCCTGCCAGGGCTCCTAGAGCTACCCCAGCCCACGCTCCCGTTCCCTGCGGAGGCCCATCACCCTCTGGGCCACCCTGCCACTATCCTTAGGAGGCCGCTCCCGCCTGGGGGGTTTAGACCCAGCCAGGCTGGAATGCAAAGAGCCCTTTCCCAGGGAGGAGGGGAGAGAACAAAGGGCAGCGGGCGCTGGACAGGTTTGGGGAGGTGTGAGCCAGGGTCAGGAGGCTGCCCTGATGCGCAGGGAGACAGGGAGAGGAGTGGGGGAGGACTTGCAGGGGCTGGTATGCAAACGCCCACCCAGGTCAGTGGCTGCGCACAGCTGCAGAGGACTGATGGGATCAGGAAGGCAAGGGCTCTGCTCCCGGGCTGGGGTGAAGGCAGCTTGGCTTTCTAATCTGCTGGATCTCCCAGCCTCTGGCCTCTGAGCCCAGGTAGCTGGTGCGTGGCAGGGCTCAGCATGTGTCTGTGTGGGAACCTGCGCGCTCTCCTGGAGGACGGGCAGCCCCCGGCTTTCTGTCTGCTGCTGGGCTCCCGCGGTGAGTCGGTGCCGCTCCTGGGGCTGGGGAGGTGGCGGGGGGCCCTGGCAGAGGCGGAGGCCTTGGAGGGGCACGATGGGCCGTGGTGACCGCTCTGACCTCTCTGCTGCAGACCATGTGGAGCCGCAGCGGCCCATCGCTCACGAGTGCCTTGGGGAAGCCCTGCGCATCCTGCGCCAGGTGATCAACAAGTACCCGCTGCTCAACACCTTGGAGACCCTCACGGCTGCTGGGACCCTCATCTCCAGGATCAAAGGTGAGTTGGCCGCCAGGACTTGCTCACGGCGGGGCCCGGGCGCGGGGGAGGCACGACCTAGCCCACT